TTGTGAAGCCATCATGATCATGATATACTTGCAGTGACATTTTAAAATGAACTCGGTCGGCATTTGTCATGTATGATTCTAGGCTTTATCTTAGTTAAAATGTATGCAACTTGACTTTTTTTTAAACCCTGCTTCTGTTGACATAGCTGTGACGGTGTATGGACAAATATTAACCCGGCGACAGAATATTTCCATTGATTCTATAGACAGAAAAAAAACAAAGCATACATTCAGTGTCAGACTGGAGTGCAGTTAATATTTACAGGGTTTTTGTGTTCTCATATTTTAAGTATGTGAAATGCAGTGCTGGCGTACACAGTACTTGTCTTGTTTGGCTGTGTTTACATAGTTGTACTGTACTTTTCCACAGTCAGCCTGTCTTTATGCAGTACTGCAGTCAGGACAAATACAGGGCGTCTGAACATATGACAGTTTAAACAATAAACAACTGTTTAGTCAGAATAAATATTGTATTAATGTGAGTCCAAAAAGTCACAATGTAAGGTCTGTCAAGTTGAGCACGCTGTAGAGGTTTTGTTTTGAAAGTGTTTGCTGCCCTCTAGTGGCAGTATTGACTCATGTCATGTCAATTTTTTTTCTTCTTTTTTGTTATTTTCTTAGAATACTTTTAAAGACTTTATCTTTATCCTTCATCTTTTGTTTTTGTGTCGTTCTTTGCAGTGAACTGCTCCAGTCTCTGGACATGTGTGACAACGACCCCGTGGCCATTGCCAAATGCTTTGTCGATAAAGTGAGTATAAACTCATCTGTACCACAGTATTACATCAGCGACTGGAGTAAATGAAAGTCCCTGACATGCCTGTGTGCTTCCTGTTTGTCACAGAGTGAATACTTTGAAATTTACACCCAGTACTGCACCAACTATCCCAAGTGAGTACCGTGTACAGTACTGTCGCAAGTGATGCTGTGTGTGACGTTGAATTCAGACGATACATGGAACTGTCTGTTGTCTCGCAGTTCAGTGGCGGCGCTGACGGAGTGCATGAGGAACAAAACTTTAGCCAAGTTCTTCAGAGATCGACAGGCTGCGCTGAAGCGTTCGCTCCCTCTGGGCTCCTTCCTGCTCAAGCCGGTTCAGAGAATTCTGAAATATCACCTGTTGTTACAGGTACAGATCGAACTGAGTGGTCACATTACTGTATCGTGTTATTTCTGACTATCATTTTGTGAATGTTGTGTTCGTCCAATACGGTCATGAACCCATGTCTTACATGATTGTCGCCATGTTTTGGCGAAACATTTAAGTGTTTCTATATTTTCCTTCGAACTGAGTGGTCACATTACTGTATCGTGTTATTTCTGACTATCATTTTGTGAATGTTGTGTTCGTCCAATACGGTCATGAACCCATGTCTTACATGATTGTCGCCATGTTTTGGCGAAACATTTAAGTGTTTCTATATTTTCCTTTCACCGCTCTTGCTCTTTTTTTTTTTAAGGAAATCGCTAAACACTTTGACCCAGACGAGGAGGGCTACGAGGTGGTCCAGGAGGCCATAGACACCATGACAAGCGTGGCCTGGTACATCAACGACATGAAGAGGAAACATGAGCACGCCGTCAGAGTGCAGGTTCGATGGGATTAACACACCCGCATGCAGACTTCCAACCAAAGAATTTAACTAAAATATCACTAAAATAATATAGTCATATAGTAATTTTAATTGATAAACACAGACCTTTAATTAGGAGTACTACAGTATTCCAGTACTTTCATGTAGAGTGTACCAAATTATTGACACTGAGGTCAAGTGTATTTTGTTTCAGATCGGTGAACAACATGTACAGTCAGACAGACCATTTCTACTTGTTGCCAACAGCCGTAACATATCTGTGTATATTTGTTCCAGGGTTGACAAACCAGCATACCCATAACCCAGTACTTGTTTTAATACCATGTGCGACTTTGTACTTAGCCTTGAGACGTGCAGCTTTTTAATGAGATTCTTGGTGTGAGAGGCCGACACTGAGACATTTTTACAGTCTGCTTTGTAAAGAGATGTTTTTAAAAGGATCATTGATGAAAGAAAAACTTCTTCTGGAATTTATATTCTTACAAAATGGGCCTAAGAGGACCTTTATGGGGGGGGGTCTCGTATTTTTTACGTGTCTCTGCAGGAGATACAGTCTCTTCTGATCAACTGGAAGGGTCCTGACCTGACCACCTACGGAGAGCTGGTGCTGGAGGGCACCTTTCATGTCCTGAGGGCGAAGAACACACGCACGCTGTTCCTTTTCGAAAGGATGCTCCTCATTACCAAGAAAAGAGGGGAACACTACGTCTACAAGATCCACATCTCGGTATGGTTCCACGCATTTTTATTCATTAATTAGGTGGTTTGAAAAATGTAGGTAAATGTAAAAAGGTAAAGTGGTGATATAAAACTGGAGAAGAGGGAAAAAAAAAAAAAAACTTTCTTTACCTTATACAGTATTTGTATTCCTTGTACTATGGCTTAGTATCGAGACATTTTCCAAGAGAAGATTCCACCTCATGTCTACTGTGTGTCTCTCTCTCTCCCCTCAGTGCTCCACTCTCATGCTGCTTGACAGCGCCAAGGACCCGCTGCTCTTCAGTGTCATCCACTTCAAACATCCCAAACAGCCTCATACAGTACAGGTAGAGTGCATCCCTGATAACTGATAACCGTCTTTTATAATTATGCACTCTTTGTCAGAAAAAAATAAAATAAATAAAAATATATAAAAAAATATATTTTAAAATATATATATAAAATATATATATCTTTATATATGTGTGTATATGTATATATATGTGTATATATATGTATATATATGTGTATATACAGTATATGTGTATATATATGTGTATATACATGTATATGTATATATGTATATTTTCTTTGCCTGGTCTCTTCTGAGGCACCATATGACGGCATTTAACAAAGTCAAAACATGTTAGGAGCTGTTAGCATTAGTAGGAGATTAGCATGATTATCCTAGCTTAGCCAAGGGGCCAAAACACTGTTAAGTCGTAAACCGCTAAACAAAAACATTTGCAAGGCATAACATGAATAATCCAATACTGAAGTTAAGAAGTTTATAGTGTTTGACACATAAAGGAGTTCAGCTTCTCACATTTGTCTTCAGCAAAACGTCAGCAAAACGTCTGGGAAGTTGAATGTTTCAAATCTTGTGAACAATGTTTTATTATTTTGTTACAGCATCTATGTGTACCCTTTATAACAGTTATTGCTAACCAATGCCAAGGCACATTATTGTTCTGTGAGAAACCATCAGGTGTACCATGGGAAATATTCAGTTTCTCTCAAATTTGTCTAAAAACTGTTATTTATTTACTGCAAATAATTTGTCTTTTACTAAGCAACGGTAACAGGCAGAACAGTTAAGTATTCCACTAGATGGCAGCAGATGACTGTAAAAACCAAAAACAGCAAGTGAAGCTATTGCAAGTCTTTCTTTAATTCCTGCAAGTATATGATTCTGTGTTCAACTAAAAAGGCTCAGGGTCTAATACGGTGTTATTGAAACTTGTGGTTTATTACATATATTTTTGTGACATTTTCTGTTCGGTTTAGGGTTGGGATTTAAAAAATATAAAATATAAAAAAAGATGTTATGAAACACTCTAGCACCCTAGAAGGCAGGTAGGGGGAGCTAGATGCTCTGTTTTTTTACAGAATCTGCCCTTAACTTGTATGTTATTTTTGTATCTTCCATAACCTTTTTTTTTTATATACGTATAAGCCAGGCAGCATCTGTGGTCTGTGTTATGTAAATGGCTGTCTCAATGACGAGTGCTTGTTGTTGTCGATGTTCTAGGCCAAGTCGGTTGAAGAGAAGCGTCTTTGGGCCCATCACATTAAGAGGCTCATCCTTGAGAACCACAGCACCATCGTCCCTCAGAAGGTAAACAAAGTCATTACTGGCAAACACACCCGTTCGTCCTCAGCTGCTAAACAACAGCCTTTCATTTGTAATAATACCGTCTCTTACTTCGAAGGCTAAGGATGCCATGCTGGACAATTCAAACTGTAAGTGTCACAAACACGATCATTCTAGTGATGCAAGGAACAGTTTAGTATCCATGGTAACTTAAGATGCTGAGGGGAAAAAAAAGGGGCTTGTTCATTTTCACTGGAAAACATAGATTTAATTTACCAGGGACACGCAACCCATCTATGTGGAGAAAATTGTTTTGGTAATTGCAGCCATGAGTGCACTGACGTATCTCCTGCTTAGATCTGGGGAAGCATCAGTACAGTCCTGAGAGGCTGATAAAAGCAGACTCCTGTCAGACTGAAGACTTCAACCTTGGACGACGAAAGGGAAGAAGACGATCAGGTAAAAAGCCCAACTCCCACTCGCGTTGACTTAAAATCAGACACAAACATCGCCACCTGAAAATGTTTAATAAAAATGATCATCTAACTCCAATTATCCTCAATTCTTCTCCTTTAGAGCCTTCAAAACAAATTATGGGGAACACAAAAGGTTTGTACCGGCGTAGAAATGACATTTGTTGATTTGCAGTTCAGTTTGCTGAGAGAATGGAACAGATTCATCGACAGTCGTCTTCCTGGGTGCCCAGCTCAGCATGGTTATTTTGTAGTTTTTCACGACTCTCACTTCTGCTTTGTCCCCCTTCACAAAGACACCTGAAAAAACAGATCAAAAGACACACATGCGCTCACTCCCACTCCACACAGGCCTCAGTGACGATGAGGTTAATTACAAGCAGCATCGCTCCAGGTCTTTTCAATAGTCAGACCCAGGTTTCCCCCCCCCCTCAGATCTTGGCGTCTTCGTGTTTTGCCCCCCTCTTTTCTCGATGACCACAGATAACCTCTGTGTTCTTGTCTCAGTCTCTTTGAGTCTGGAACAGTGTATGAGTCCATGTAACGAAGAAACAATGCCCATGACAGCTTTGCCATCTCCATGAGGGAGTAGGTCATCACATCCTGCCTAATTCAATCATGGCCAGTTTGAGCCTCAGAGAGGAAGATGTTTCTAATTGGTATTTATCTAATCACAGAGCCTCCTTCAAGTCTGAGCCCGGGGTAACGTCACCCTGACACGAGATAATGCTGCGATATAAATATAAACCTTACAGTTTGTATTAAGCACGAGTCGATAAAAACTTCATAGAAACGTTGGCACACTTTGAGAAAATGTAGTAGAATCAAATCCCAAACATTGGTGATAATCTTTAAAAGTCTCCTGACAAATTTAATTAAACAGTAAAACAGGGGCAACCAGAGTATTAAGATCTTTAAACTGATTAATTACAGGCTAGCTGTGGATTGATTGTGATTAATCACGATTAATCATGATCGATCCAAATAGTAATTACTTAAGTGAGTAATTAAGATAAATCCAGATAAATCAACTTTTATTACTAAAAATAACAACAACAAGACATATAACTAGTAGCAACTCATGTTTGACACAAGTTTAGTTGTGACTAAATTGAAATGGTGGTATTAATAATATAGTTGTCAAAAAACATATGCTGAACTGCAACCCAAATATTTATTTTTAATGGGAGACAAACAGATAAACTGCAACGACTCATAAAGGGTTGGTTGTGTGTTTAGATATAATTGTTTACATTTTTTTAATTGTGTTTGTAACTGTGGTATGTAGTTTATTTTGTCTGTGTAACATTTGACTTTAATTTTGAATTAACCATAGACTGATTTTTGTCTCTTCTTTCTCTCGTCTCGTCTCGTCTCTCCTCTGCAGCTGCTTTGAAGGTAAGGACGCTGCATTCAAATGTCTTTAATCATTCTGTTGTAGAAAACTACATTAAAGCACAGTTGGCTGGTGTGTGATGCGTTTCTCACTTTTGTCATATGAGTTTCTTTTTTTTTTAAAGAAAAAGTGTAACCAAAAATGAGAAAATGTAACCCTAATCTGCACAGAACACACTTTTTTTTTTTTTTTTAAATTCTGTCTCACTTAAATCTAAATCCATAATCACCACCATGGCTCCAGCACTGGCCTGGCATTAACAAACCACGTGTGTCTCTCATGACTTCACGCCACAGCATGCAGACAGTGAGGGTGCACTGATGGGGGATAGGCGCTCCCTTCAGCCAGCCACAAGTGTCAGTACACTGGCGTCCAGCCTCGGCCGGCCCCAGGCTGGGGTGTCATACGAGGACAGTCAAACTCCTAGAAAAGACTCTCTGCAGCAGCGCAGTTCTGCTGATAGTGGCCTGAAACCGGGCTCCTCACCCAGTGAGGGGGGGCGGGAGCTGGAGCAGGCAGAGAAGGCAAAGCAGCCGGGTACAAACAAATCGCCTGTTTTTCCTCTAAAGAAAAGGCGTAAGGATGACTCCGAGCGGTCACAGTCAATCAATGGATGAACCGCCGCGGATCAAACCCCATCTGCTTCTCACCTGTGCTGGTTGATCTTCAGGAGGACTTAACACTGAACACAGAAGGAGTTAATGAGAGCACAGGGAGGTTAGAAAAACCCCACGTCAACCAGGGAAGGCAATTCATTAGAGAGCATTTAAGAGAGAGTGAGACCATAAAAGGCACTTATGTCAAACTCAAGGCCGGCGGGCCCAAACCTGGCCTGCATTACCACTTAAAGAGGCCCACCAAAGCTTAGCTTAGACTATAGGTGACTTAAAAATAACACGGAACAGTAGAAGGTCTACACTTGTGTTTACTAGATGGGTTAAATGCAGGAGTCCAATCCCATCCATGGTGGTTAATTTACATTTCTAATTCTCTAATTCCAAATTTGTTCTATGTTTTGTATTTTGTTTTCTGTGTTTTTTAATTTATTTTATTGAAGAAATGGTTGTTGCAGTCTGTTCAGAGAGCATTGACACTCATAAAATCACATTTTCTCTATGGTGAAATACATTTTGAAGTATAAAACATGTACTATTTACTATGTAGTTAATGTATTAAGTACAGCCTAACTAATGAGTACAAAATAAAAGCTGGAACCAGCCACCAGGGGGCTGAGGTTTGAGAAAACTGTTTGTCAAAGACGTAGTAGTAGAGTAGACGGGAAAAAAACTTTCAAACCAAACTATGTTGTCGTGCATCACTGGTTTCACCTTCACTGAACAAACCCACTTAAGGAAACACTGCTAAAGAGGAAGACACAGAGAGAGAGAGGATGATTATCACCTTGTCTGCACTAAAGGTGTTTATTTTAGAGCAGCGCTGAACCTGACACCCTGCAGAATTATACACTTTATAGAGTGAGAGGAAGCAGATGAGGGAGGAGGAAGAGCAGGAGGAAGAGGAGGAGGGGGACAGTTACAAGGAAGATGTGCTGATGGGAGACGACCAGGTAGCCGACTTTGCCAACTCGGTTCTGGCAGCCATCTCCTGCTGGCACTATAGAGCCAGGGCTTTGCTTTCTACTCACTTCACAACGGTGAGGGTTTCTGACACCCACGGTTTTTTTTCCCCATTTGCTCTTCCATTTTACTGGCTTCACTCACTCTGACTGCCACTCTCACTCTCACTCTCACTCTCACTCACTCTCTCTGTCTCTCTCTCTCCCACGCTCACTTTCATCCCACTCCCCTCCATCAACTGAACCAACTAACAGCTGCTGCCACCCTGCACTGTGCCGACATAACGCCTCAGGTCCCATTGCTGTCCTTGAACTGCATGAAATTTAATCCCAATCTGAGAAAGTGTGGCCGCGGACACCCAGCATGTTCCTGTAGTTCTGTGTGTAGTTCACTGTGTATTGATCACCGCAGTATGGGTCTATTTTTGGTTATACAAAACAAATATTTAGCGTATTAATTCATGTGTGTGTGTGACTGTGCAACTCTCTGATAAAAAAGAAAAACCCTGTTGACGCAGATACATTTTTAACATTACGCTTAATCACTAGCGTTTGCGTTTAATGTTCTCCATGTACTAATTGTGTTTTGGGGACGCGATTGATGTTGAAGCTCGTGCTGTTAAATCTGTGCCTGCATTAGCATTAAAAACCAGCCCCCGTCGAATGTTTTTGACTTCAAAGGTTAACGTAGCTTTCTAATTAAACAATTATTATTTGGCAAAAGCTTTTGCTCTTTGATAACCCGTGTTTCCCCTCTGAATTTTCATGGTTTAAAAGTCTTTGTTGCGTCTAATTATTGTGCACGTAATGACTCTGAATATGCATTTTTACATGTCTTTTAATTACAAAGCTTTCATCGTCAATCTCTGAAGATGTTTTTTTTTTTTTTTTGGAGGCTAATCAGAATAATATAATGTCGTCTGCTGTGACAGATTCTTCCTCGTCGTTCCCTCCACAGCGTAATCCCTCCTCCAGGATTCAGAAGAAAACGTCAGAGTTAAATTATTTGCCTTTTGCTTTTTAGGACAATCACGACACTGATGTGACAGAGGAGAAGGTTGTGCTGAAAGATCAGTCTGAAACGTACTTAGAAGTGGACGAACCTGTGGACGTCAAAGAGACTCTGACCACACAGGTAGTTGAAAAGAAGTCGCGTTCGTTGTTGTGTTCTTTTTATTATGAGAGACTGAACTCTAGTAAGGACAAGCTGGACAAAGATGAGACACTCTCGACAATAATCTTTTCATTATTTATTCTGAGATGAGAGAGAAAAAAAAAAGAGAACCATTTATTCTGAGAGATGTGGGCCGTGTCCTTGAAACCCATAGTCACGGTAAACACAAAAAAAAGTGCACTTTGTAATAATAATAATAAAAAAAAAAAACACGCATCAAACTCAATCATTAATAATAACTTTGTTTGTGTTTTTCGCTGACAATAATCACAGCTTAGATGTTGATTATTCATGTTTATAATAAGCTACAATTAATTGTGATTATTTATGTTTATAATTAGCCACAGTTAATGGTGCTTAATCGTGATTATTCATGGTTATAATAAGCCACCATTAATCAATATTTCTAACTATGAAGTTTTTTTATGTATATTGCTGGAACTGAAATGCACATGAAAAGGTTGATGTAACGTGGGCAACAAATGTTACAGTCTTGCTCTTGTTTTTATCCCAGATGTTTAAAAAAATACCTCGAAACTACGCTGGAACTGAAATGCACATGAAAAGGTCGATGTAACGTGGGCAACAAATGTTACTGTCTTGCTCCTGTTTTTATCTCAGATGTTTAAAAAATACCTCGAAAATCGTTTAAAAAAACAAAACAATGGCTGACCGAACCAGCTGGTTGTGCTAGTGCACATTAACAAATTGCTGGATTGGCAGATTTTTTTAAGTACAAATAAATAAAAAACATTACCAAATTGCTGGATTGGCAGGGTTTTTTTTAATACAAAAAAAAAAACTCCTGGTAAACATGATGCGAGACGACCCCCCCAAAAAAACTCTTGCGACTCACCTGAGGGACGCGACCCAGTCTTTGGGAAACAATGCATTATGATACTGGTATTGGTAAATGCTTCCGTAAATCATTGCTCTGCGATTATTTTTTTTAAACCTTTAGAAAACCTTTTAGTTTTGTCCGAACTGAAGGTCAAATCTTTCCACATTTTCCTTCAGTCTTTTTGATACTGTTAACAAATCTCTTTATCAAGAACTCCATCCGTCCTCACAGTACATGTAACACAGCTGCAGGTTTATTATTGGTCCAGTACTAGTGTAGTTAAACTGACACATTCACAGATGATCCACATGTGAATCTGGGTTTAGATCATTCTGTACATTTTCATACCCAGTTGCGTCACACTCACAGACAGTGATCAGCACTTCTCCTGACGAGGGCAACGTTTGAATTCTCCCAGAGACTTTACAAAGCAGGTCTTGCTTCTGAAGAGAGTGTGGGCTGTTGTTTTCTCCTGGTGCAGCATCGTGCTGCACTTTTTGCAGTCGTAGGCACTTCAGAAGAGCAGCCAACACCTAGGAACAAATTTAGATGAATGGCAGTCGAGGGCGACATCAGCGCTGCGTGGGGGGAGCTGTTAAAGTTGCAGACGTCGCTGTGTTTGTCATGAACTCAAGGGCAACTTGAATGGTGGAATAATGATTGTGCATGTTTGAAAACACGTCGAAGTTGTGCAGATAAAAAAAACAAAACGCACTTTGTGAATTGTTCAGTTAGACTGAGTCTCAGTGACTTTGAGGAGATCCATCAGGCTAATGGAGAATGGAGAGAGCTCTCTCTCTCATTACGTCTGTTTTGCCACATTAAAAACAATGGTGTCATGTTTCAGATAAACATGGAGGAGCGTTGTCCTCCAGACGCCGTCCCCCAAGAGGAGAAGAGTGAGCAGCTGGAGGTCTCCCTGAGTCCTGACTCTCCTGTTGCCTCTCCTCAACTAGAAACTGAACCTTCAGAATCTCAGGAGACTTCCAGAGAGACTGTAGAGGAAGAGGAGGAAGCAGAGAGCGATTCCTCACATTTCCCTGTGGAGGAGACGAGTGCGATTACGAATGGAGAGCTCTCGGAGGAAGAGGAGGTTTTGGATTGTGGACGTATCTTGCCTTCATCCATGTTGGACCAGGCGAGTGCGAGAGCCGAGCGCTTCGTCGCCAGTTTGTCCAGACGCAGCAGTCTGGTGTCAGAGGACCTGGGTTCCCTGGCCTGCCCGTCACCTACAGCAGAGTGTGAGGTCTTCCAAAGCCCCTCGGCCTGCATGGATTTTGAGAAGCAGACACAGATGATGGACAGCTCTAGTCCAGAACCTCAGACAAACTCGGAGCTAACGCCCGTCCACCTGTCAACGCCTGTAGGTAAATCCCCACTGGACGCTCTTGCGGAAGGAGAACGAAGATCCACGCTCTCCAAAAAAGATCGGCTCCTCATCCACAAGATCAGGAGATACTACGAGCACGCCGAGCACCAGGACGCCGCTTTCAGCATCAAGCGCAGGGAAAGTCTCTCCTATATCCCAGCAGGTCTGGTGAGACACCTGAGCCAACAGTTGAACAGCGTCCCTCAGGAACAGGCCGTTCCAGTCCACAAGAAGAGCCCCTCTCGGAATCGACCCACTTCTTGGTCCATCTTTGATCTGCCCGGACTGGAAAAGTGTCGAAGCAGTGAAAGTCGAAGGAGCGGTGAAACACAAAGAGCGGTGGAAGTCAGGACGAGATCTCAGAGCGTCACCGACACCTCAACCGCAGAAGAAGAGTTCAGACCCTCGGCGGAAATCCTCAAGGTTTTACAAGATATGGAAATTGAGGAGGAAGGGTTAGGGTTAGGTCAGGAAGGTCTACAGGACGACGATGAGAAGGTTGACGAGTCAAGTCTGGAAGAAACCGAGGACACCAGTTCAGACGCCTTCGATAATCAAACTGCTGACCAGTCGATTCAGATTTTAAAGGAGTCAGAAATGTGCTCTGCCTCTGACAGCTCCTCGGTCTCATCACCCACCACAGCTTCTCCACCAGCAGAGGTCCGATCTGCTGTGGACACCAAACCGAGTAAGAGTCCCGTGTCACCAGAGAAGTGCCACTTCAGCCACAGCAAGCTACCAAACATCATCAGCTTCCGTTCCAGCATGGACGAGGACCAGATCCTGCAGGACATGGGCAAGATGAAGAACAAAGTGTTTCAGCTGGCCCGTCAGTACAGCCAGCGCATCAAGAATAACAGACCCATGGTCTGGCAGAGGAACCGCGACGCAGCAAACCAACAGGGCTGCAACAGCGCATCCGCTGGTCACGAGGAGAAGGTGCATCCGAGAAGGAAAGGTAAATAGAGAATAGTTTGTTTTTGTTTTACATCCACTGTTGTGTTAAAAACACAATCAATTCAAATCTATTGTTTTGGGGACACACTTTTAAAAGATTCAAAAAGCTAATTCAAATAATGCAAGCAGTCCTCCCAGCTCCCCCCACCGTCGGCGTCTCCCCAAGTTACAAATATTGTTCAGGGTTGTTTAATAAAAAAAAAAACCTTTTAATTTATCAGGTTAAGAATCGCAGCTGCATGATGATTAAATGATTTTTAAACTCCTGCGGGCCGTACAAAATGACCTGGTGAGCCACATTTGGCCCCCGGGCCTTGAGTTTGATATAAGAGATTTGGTGCAGAATTGACCTGTTGTTCACTGGGCCTGAGTTTGTCAGAAAGAAAAGTAAAGATATATTTTGTGCGGCCACATACAGTTCAGTTCAGTGTCATTTACTGACCTGCCTGCGGTCCAGATCTGTGCACTGTTTACAATGTCAGTCAGAAGAGAATCACAGCTGTGGTCAGTTACTGCTGAAAGAATTAAGCAAAGAATATCTTTGTCATTCTTCATTGCAGGTAAGCTCAACCTCAGGTTGCCTTTGACCACCTGTGATGAGATGGTCATCCACGAAGTCCACTCTCCCAGTCCAGTCCAGTCACCCAGCTCCGTGTCCAACTGCCAGCTCTCGGTCCCCTGCCCACAGAGCCCCCAGTCGCAGGCCTTCCACTGGCCCGACGTGCAGGGTCTGTGCTCCAAGTACACCAGCCCCTCCTCCCTCTCAACAGGCGGCCGCAGCTGCGCGGCGCTGATGTCGGGGTGCTGCAGGGACCGATGTAACGCCTGCTCACAGAAGTGCAGCAGCTCCCTGGACCTTCACAGGGCTCTGTCAAACACCGACCCTGACCGTCACCTGTTGGAGGACTGGCCTCAGCGTCGGCGGACCCCACTTCAGCCCCTGCTGTGCAGGTGGAACTCTTTGGACCACATGCTCGGGTCCGTCCCCCTTCACGAGGCGCAGGACCTTCATACACCTGCGAAGAACTGCTGCACGGGATACAATCTCCACAACTGGGACCGCCACTTTCCCGAGGACGATATGGACTGTGCGGAAAAGTCCGGCGTCCTGACTTTAGGGAAGATGTCAGACAGTAACATTGTGAAAAGCTTACGGGAAAAATTCCAGAGCTTAGGCACAAACTCGTAAACACCTCTGCCACAAGGGGGACAAAGTCAGATATTGTCTACGCAGGGATTTTAGCACGAAGGAAACAGACTTGTGATCTGTGTTGTTTGCCAACATAGGAGGGATGTTATTGGTCAGTGATAGTATGAACTGAAGCTCCATTTCCATATTGGGTCTTTGCTGCACTGTAAAATTCAAATTATATGTTAAAAAAAATAAATGTATAAATTCACCTGTCTTAATGGAAGGTCAGATTTATTTTCCCTTCCGCGACATGCGTATATTTCCCCCCCCCCCCCGCCCCTCGTTACCCCTATAGCCCCACTGTTGGTGATGCTTGCTGTAGTCACTAGTGTAACAATGTTAGCTGTTGTTCCAGCATGCCATATAAGGGCGTGAGCTAACAAGACTAATCTCTCTCTCTCAGCAGGACAAACACTGTCTCTGACTGGACACCAAAGACACTTTTCCTTCCCACGTCCACTGTCTCTGCCTCTGAAACCGTCACGTCTCTTACTGTATCACAGAAGCTTTATTTTTATCTACATGTACATTTCTTCCAACATTATTTATCTAACTGTATATTTTGGAGACATCGACCTCGGCGCACTCTTGACCTACGGCGTCCCTTGGTAATTTTTTTTTTTTTAAGAAAATATCATTGCATACTTGAAGTTTACCATATTTGCAATAAAAAACAGAAACTGGTCAAGTATCTGTGGGTGTAGTAGTGTTTCTGTTGTCTAAAATGTCTGATCGTAACCAGGGGGGTGTATCACCAAGAATCTGGCAATACGATACATATCACGATATGGGGGCAACAGTACAATATATTGCAATATACTACTATAGTTACAACGATATATTGAGGGTTTTTTTATAGGCACAACGATATATTAAGGGTTTTTTAAAAAAATATTTAATTGTAGTTGAACTGTCAACATGGCAAACATACATTGCTGTATTTGCATGTTAATAGTTAATAAAAAATGGATACAGTGCTGTAGAATATCACTACAAGATGAGAAACTAAATATCGCGATATTCAAGTGAATTAAATATTTTTTCACCACTGTTTCCTTTATGTACCGCTGTTTACAACGAACGGGGTGAAGAGATGCTAATTTTGGCCTAATCCTAAACGTTGTTGTTGTTTTACAATTAGCGACATCTAGTGTTGAAGTTACAATGTGTAGCTTTAATTATTGTGACCATTAAATTAGTTCTTTTCAGTTTATGTACTTTGCGCTAAAGAAAACGTGCTAATCTGACATTGTCACCTCTGTAGAAATTCCCTGTTCCAGATGCTAGTAAAGAAAAATCAAACCAGGTAAGAACACATTTATTAAATATTACAAAAAAACCCCAATAAAAGTGGAAAATAAATAGGAATTAAACTGAATAAACCATCTCAGTCGAACCATTTTCATTTACACTCTGATGTGACTGATAAATTAACGTAGCATATTCCCGGCACTCATGTTTCCTTCCTCGGGGTGCTTCCGAGAAAGTTTAAAAATAATTCAATTTTCTCGTAAGGACTAATATTTCTGTCCGAGACGTTTGTTGTTAACATAAACAACAACTTAACAGTTTGTGGCGGAGTTAGTGTGTGTGTGTGTGTTTGTTGCATCAATAACTGTGATCTGCTGATGTTCATCGGTTGTTATTGTCTAACGTTTCAATCCATTTTTCCTTCAGTTTGACATTGGAACCGACGTGATCAAGTTAACAGGAAACACGAGATGCACAGCGGAAGTCAGACGCTGCTCCTTCGTCATAAAAGTCTCCTGCTGGTTCGGACGTGTTACAAACAGGTCGGCAGTTTTATTTTGAACCAATGAACAGTTCCGCTGTTCCTGCTGGTTGTTGTTGTTGTTGTTGAGTTGATTCTGATCTGTTTAAAGCCGAGTTGAGAAGTAGATGCAGTTGAAGTCGCGTGTGTCAAGCTAATGTCAGCGAACTCCGTGTCCCTCCGAGATAAACACATTTAGTCTGGACTGAAGGAGAAGACGGAAGATTTCTCTGGTTTTTCTTTCATTTCGTTGATTTTTCTTTTGTTAATTGAAGAATGGGCTGCGCTATTTCAGGTCTGGCAGCAAAAACGGACTTTGTGGAGAGGAACATGGAAGAAGACGGAGCTGCTGCTGCTGCTGCTGCTCAGCCCAGTGACGACCAGATCCAGATGATCAAGGAGTCCTGGAAAGTTATCCGGGACGACATAGCAAAAGTTGGGATTATAATGTTCGTGAGGTAAGGTACATTATTATTATTATTTTAATTTGCATATCAAAAACTGAAGACTAACAATCATAGAGATACGTTCAGAGAAAACTAGTTTTTTTTGTTGGAAAATAATTTAAAGAAATTGCTCAGCAAAAATGTTTAACCTGAAAATGTGAAATTTGTAAAATCTAAGGCATACATTTGTGATTAAAAAAAATCCTATTTGATTTGATCTTTAAATCATGCCACTGGTCATTGATTGTTGACATAGTGTCGTGTCCCTTTAAACCCTGGTTTGACCTATTGACCTCCGACTAACAGTTCTGCTGCTGATCCTCTCAGATTAATACCACACCATAGAACTGATCGTGGCAAACTGTTCCACTGTGGTTCCAACCTAAACCTCCAGAGCGCAGTGACTGACCAATCAGCTGTCAGGAGCCTCGGATCAGTTGATTCAAAGAGTCAGGTCAGGTGTGCAGCAGCTACAGTGGCCCACAGTGGAACAGTTTGCCAGCCCTGTCCCCTCCACCAGAGGGAGCAGATTACTCCCTCCTCCTCCTCCTCACCCTCCTCTCTTATCACTTTATATCACATCTTAACAGCATTATATAATAACACGCAGCTCCAGGTCTGCGATTGTACCGTACTGCTGGAGACATTAGGACCATCAGACAAATACATTTTTGTCAATTATGGTGATGACCTGCATCTGGGTAAACATGT